GGTTATGCACAGATGCCCTGGGAGGATGAAAGTGGGTCATTTTAGCCCTTATTACAGAGAGATTCTGAAGGTGGGAGAGGTAAAAAATGGGGCGCACGGAGAGAGAGAGGCCAGTCACAGAGAAAGAGACAGAGAGACTTGTTGATCGTAAGTTCCTTGGTGCCGAGAAGAATTGCTACAAAACTGAGTTTCCTGAAGTGGACCACTAGACTTCTAAACAACTAAAAAAATCTAGTAAAAAAAAAGTCAACCAAAAGAGCAATATGGAAACAAAAGGAGCAAAACAAATTAAAGTTTAATTTATGTGCATTGTTTAATGGACTGTTAAGTTGGCCATGCCCACCCAGTCACATGACCACTAGTCATGCCCACCCAGCCTGTCTGCCCCCTCCAACAGTCTGAGGGACTGTGAATTGACCCCCCGTTTAAAAAGTTTGAGGGCCCCTGCTCAAGAACAGCTTGCATCATCAATATTAGTCATTAAAGTACCAAATGTTTTAATATGAAATTCAAGGCTTCTAGCATAATAAAATGCTTTTTTGAACTCTTAAGCCTAGCATAATATTGCTGATTCTTGAAGAGAATAGATCAAAACAGCATCCCACAAGCTTATTTGTTGTTATGAGAATGAAGATCTCAATGTCCAAACTCAGTGAAGGAAATATCATTAAGGCAATTAATGCCTGGGGAATTCCAGTCATATAAATATTGGATTGGACCCAAACAGAAGTAGAAAGCCTGGATAAGATATATCAGAAAAATAAAATCAATGAAACTATGCCCTTCATCCATACAATGATATTGCCAGACTACTGAGATGTGGAATGTTGCAAGTTGGGAAAAAAGGCACTAGAAGACTATCTGAAGAATAGTGAAGATGCATTGAAGCTACTATTACTTTATGGTAATAAAGGCTTAATGAATATCAAACAGATCAAATTGACTAAAAGATTAAATGAAAAACAAACAAAGAGAGAGAGAGAGAGAGAGAGAGAGAGAAAAGAAAGAAAGAAAGAAAGAAAGAAAGAAAGAAAGAAAGAAAGAAAGAGAGTCCATTTTCCAGTGAAGCATCAGAGATTTATATACTACCACACTATCACCTCTTACAATACTAGACAACACAGTATCAACAATAGGGACCTTCAAATTTCTAGGTTCAATCATATCACAAGACCAAAAATGGATACCTAACATTAAAAATGTCATCAAAAAAGCACAACAAAGAAAGTTCTTTCTGCACCAACTCAGAAAGCTCAAACTGCCCAAGGAGCTGCTGATACAGTTCTACAGAGGAATTATTGAGTCTGTCATCTGCACCTCTATAACTGTCTGGTTTGGTTCTGCAATCTAACAAGACAGACACAAACTTCAGAAAAAGGACTGCAGAAAAAACAATTACTACCAACCTTCCTTCCATTGAGGACCTAAATACTGCAGAGTTTAAAAAGGGCTGTGAAAATATTTACAGACCCCCTCACATCCTGGACATAAACTGTTTCAACTCCTACCCTCAAAACTATGTTATAGAGCACTGCACGCCAGAACAACTAGACACAAGAACATTTTTTCCCTGAACCCCATCACTCTGCTAAACAAATAATTCCCTCAATACTGTCAAACTATTTACTAAGTCTGCATTATTAGTTACTATTAATCCTCCCATCCTTCCTTTCACGCATCTCCTCCCACTTATGACTGTATGACTGTAACCTTGTTGCTTGTATCCTAACTATTTTTATTGACTGTTTCCTAGTATGATTTGATTGTTTATTGTACCCTACAACTATTATTAAGTGTTGTACCTTATGATTCTTGACTCTTGATGAATGTATGTTTTCTTTTATGTACACAGAGAGCATATTCACCAAGACAAATTCCTTGTGTGTCCAATCACACTTGGCCAATAAAGAATTATATTCTATCCTATCCTATCCTATCCTATCCTATCCTATCCTATTCTAGCATCAGTGATTTCCCAAAGCAGCATAATCCTTTCTGCAACTGAAAGGCATTAGGTTAAATCATCATCATTTGCCATACAATTTAATGTTTCATGTGCTAAATAAATATGTTTTCATTCAGTTCACTACAAAGCAAAATTCATAGAAACCCTGGGATGTTAATGAAACTGAGCCAGCAATGTGCAGCAGCAGCCAAAAAAGCTAATGCAATCCTAAATTGCATTAACAGAGGGATACAATCGAGATCAAGTGAGGTACTAATACCACTCTATAAATCCTTAGTAAGACTACACCTAGAGTACTACATCCAGTTGGGGTCACCACATTATAAAAAAGATCTTGAGACTCTAGAAAAAGTGCAGAGAAGAGCAACCAGGATGATTAGGGGACTGGAAACTAAGGCATACAAAGAACGGTTACAGGAACTGGGCTTGGCTGGTCTAATAAAGAGAAGGACAGGGGAGACATGATAGCAGTCTTTCAATATTTGAGGGGCTGCCACAGAGAGGAAGGGGTCAAGCTATTTTCTAAAGTGCCTGTAAGCCAGACAAGGAATAATATGGAAACTGAACAAGGAGAGATTTAATCTGGAAATAAGGAGAAAGTTTCTGACAGTGAGAACAATCAACCAATGGAACAGCTTTCCCTCGGAAGTTGTGGGAGCACAATCACCTGAGACCTTCAAGAAGAGATTGGACTGCCATTTGTCAGAAATGGTGTCGGGTCTCCCGCTTGGGTGGGGGGTTGGACTAGATGACCTGTAAGGTCCTTTCCAACTCTGATTATCTGTTATCCGTTATCTAACAGGCTATTGTACAGTCAGGTTTTCTTCCCAACAAGGAGAGGATCACGCTGCAACTAAATTAAACACTCCTTGCAGGAATTTACAGATGTTTTTAATTCCCTGCTAATACTTAAATATCAGGAAGGTATTTGAGAGTTTCTTCAAAACCAAACTGTCATCTTAGTTAGAAAGTGGAAGAGGTGGGATTATCTTATGCAATTATTTTAAATATTTTCTTAAATAAATTAACAAATGTTTAAGGAATAAACTTTGCAAAGATGGCAGAAATTAAAAGTAAAGATAGAAGTTACTATTACACAAACTATTCAATTTTTAAAAATCTGCCAAAAGCCAAAATAGAACAATAGAACCACATGGGTTTGTGCACAGGAACTGTTCCATAATATTGTATCACTAAAGACAATGAAATATCATTTCCATCTTTTTTGCATAATTTTCTCTCTAAAAAAATAAAACACAATTACTCTCTAGGGCCAACTATCAGCAAGATACCAGATCCAAATTCAAATAGTTTGGGTGAGAAACATCCAAAAAAGTCAAAAGGCAGATTGCACGTGCAAAAACAAAAGCCATCTAAGTAGCTTCTTGATCATTCCCACCATATATTTAAAGAGATATCACTACTCTGCACTCATTTGGTACACAGATCCTCAACGTAATAAATGTGGTGAGTTAAAAATTACTTCCAGGTAACCATAAAAATGTATGTGTCAATATGTCCATGTCATGTTCCTATTTAAGTATTTGCTTTTTCACTCTTCCTAAAACAGGGAAAAACACATAGGGACGCTAGAATAGTAACAAAAAGTGGTCAAGAAAAACTAGCTGAACCTTCTTCCTTTAATTTCTGGAAAGAACAATTTCACAACAGTCTCTAAGTTCAAATCATGCATTTAATTTGCTCCCAAAGTCCTATGTACTATGACCTGACCTATGAATAGTCCTGGTTGCTCAGTTCCATCCAGCCTTAGGGCATGTCAAGTTAAGTCAGAATTTATCCTTGTGTCTTAGCTTCCTGAAATCTAAATATGGCCCTGAGCATAAGCTTTTTTGCATAATTACCACTTATCCTTATTTTTCTGAAATTGCAAATAGAGCTTTTTAGCACATCTCTAAAATCTTTCTAATGATAGATAACCTGATGAATTTAACTTACATAATTCAGCTTTTGAGAGAAATGTATAAGAATAGAATTAAGAAAGTAACCAAAACAAGTACAGCAAACCTGAGCATTTGTTGCAACTCACAGAAGCGCAGTCATGAGAACAGATGAGTTAACCTCACCTTTAATAGGCATAATGGCCACACCCTCACAGCTATTCCTATGGGGGAAAGACACTTCCATGCCAAATGTGCACTTCTAGCAGCAGGCTCTTCAGATATATGGATTATATACACACAGCTTTTAATATAAAGAGCTTTTAATGGGCTGGCCCATTTAGGACTCAGCCTCTTTAGGAAGTTTAAAACATACCATGTAATTGTGATCTTCCCCATAAAAAGTACTTTAAATAGAGATTCTTTCATAACTGGCACAGCTATTAGAGACTCAAAAAGCTTATGTGATACACCTCTTCAACACTTAGTTATCCTTGTGCTCTTTATAAACCAAAGTGTATAACAAGAAAAAGAAAAATAATTGGGGAGAAGTAGGGGAGGGGATAATTTCATATTGAAATTTAATTTAGTTATAGACAAGACGCATAGTTAAAACTCATTGTTTAAGACCAAGATGTGCATTGCAGGAAATTTGGAAAAAAACAGCAAATCAATCATGCAAAGGAAACTGGAATCTTAACCAAAGCCTTACTTTTTCTTGAATTTAGTGGAGAAAAATTGCCTCAAAACATTAAGTAGCCCTTTCTATGCTTCATTACATTTCCCAGAGCTACTTTTCAGGGAGAAAAAGAAGTATTCCTTGGAAAATAACATACATATAAAATCTGGTCTGAGATAACAAACCATATGTGAGCTGAGTAACTTCAGACTTTACCAAGCACTCCCTCATACAAAAGAGAAAGCATTGTTGGCACAAAGAATCCTTTTCTTTCAAATCCTGGGTACAGGTTTAAGAAATATTTTGGTGTCTCCCTCAACTTGGCTGTCTATCTTGATTCTAATCTCTGCAAACCTCAGAAGTCACTCCCTCCATAAGGCTGCTGTGTAGAACATTTCAAATGATGAAAAGAGGTGATTTGCATTTACAGAGGCCATTTTTGGCCCTTTCAACTTACCTCCAGGAATAAGAGCAATACTAATATTCCCTGCCGAAAAGGGCTCATTTCTCCTTTTTTCCCTCCGTCCAGGGTCCCTCTTTTTGCCTGGTTTTCTCAGATGCACTTGGAAGCTGTCAGTAGGAGCGGCATTCCCTCCAGGATGCCGTCTTTAAAAGGTTGAAAAAGGAAGAGATCAAGAACAGGATAGGGGTGAGGCGTGGTGGTTGCAAAAGACCCCAAGTGGTCTGGTGAGGAGAGAAAGGCGGAGCAAAGACCAAAGAGACAAACGGATCCTCGCTCCTTTGCTTGGCTTTGAAATGGAAAGTATCGTTCACTTTCCAGGTGAGACGAAAAGAAATTGATTGGAGCTCCGGATTTCCACAATCGCTGGAAAACGCCTCTTATTTAACTACCAATCACGGCATGTCTCCCGTAATTGATGCCTCCGGACGTCGATCCTGCTCCGGGAGGGCTTCCAGTGACCAGGACGGGTGGGAGGGCTATATAAGCAGCACAAAGAGAGGCCGCAACGCAGTTGGCGGAAACGGAATGAATAGCAGGGTAGGTTTGTAGGGTGGAAAGTCCCCGCCCAGGGACCGCCTGCAGACTTTGCTAAGCAATAGCTATTTCTTTCGCCCACAGGACTGCCTCCCACTACTTAGGTAGGAAGAGCGGGCGGCAACCAGGGCTCGGGAGAAAGGCGAGCTAGCCCAGAATGCAGAGCTAAAGAGCAGCAAAAGAAGAAGTCGGGAAATGAGTCGACGGCGGACTGGTGGGGAAGGAGACCTTTGTTGTGCCGATTAGTTCATCTCTACCATTTCTCCTACGTGGTTATTTACAAAGTGAATGAATGAATTTTTTATTGGCCAAGTATGATTAGACACACAAGGAATTTGTCTTGGTGCATATGCTCTCTGTACATAAAAAGATACATTCGTCAAGAATCAAGTGATGGGAAGCTGAGAAATTTCTAGCTACATATATGTTAATTCTTATCATATACTACAATAAAACTCCAGAAGCTGGGAGGATACTTCTTGCTAGGTAGGTAACAGGTGTTTGTAGTGTTTTAAAAAGCAAAATGAAAATATCAAGCTACACACACACACACACACACACACACACAAAATTTGATACTATGTAAATCTGCTTTCCAGTCCCAACCATGAACCTTCTTAAAGGCACTTGAGTCCATGGAATTGGATGGATAATACATTAAAGAACTTTGTTTCATATGACATGCAGCTTTACATGCTCTTCACATGCCAAGTCAAGATGTGATGGAAGTTGTAACCCAGGATTAGAAAGCTGTGGAGGGCTGAATGGATAGAAAGAAGTTCAGACTTAATCCCAGCAAGATGGAGTTGCTGTTGTCCAGAAGGATCTTGGCTCAGATCAAGCTCTGTTACTGACTAGATGAGGTTGCTCTCTCCTTGAAGGAACATGTTCTGAATTTAGAGATCCCCTGGATTCTGAACTTCTGGTGAAGTAGCAGTCAAGACAATCTTTTCCCCTTTCAGGATGTTACGGCCCCACCTGGATCCTAAAATCTGGCAAATGTTAATTCCCATCCTCATAGCCACACAATAGAATTCCTGTCGCATATTCTATGGAGAGCCAATCTGATATAGTGGTTAAGGCATCAAGCTAGAAACTAGGACACTGTGAGTAGCAATATTAGAAGCAGGCAATGGCAAAACCACTTCTGAACTCATGTTAAGAAAACTGCACAGACTTATCCAGGCAGTTATCAGGAATTGGTGCTAACTTGAAGATACATCCCCATCCCCCAAATTCTGTATAGGCATTGAAATGGCCAAGAAACTGCAGTAAGATAACATGTAGCAGCCTGAAAACTAGCCCATATTGCTCATTGCCGCTTTAATATAAAATTTATCTCCAGTTTCCTTGCTGGTTACTGCTAGATTTCTAAGTCCAATTAAAAGTGCTGTTTGGGATCCCAAAGACCATAATAGCATCCATGCTTTGGAATATCCTAACTTAAGAGTGATGCCTTGCCCCTTCCCTGCTGGTATTTGAAAATCAGATTATTTAATCATGCTTTGATAGATGGCAGTTATTGTTTTCATTGGTTAATATGGGTGGGCTGCCATGTTATTGCTACTTATATTATCTTGCTAAGTTTAAGCTTAATTTATAATTGATTTCTATATTTTTAATCTTATTGGAATATCCTGGGAGTTGTATAAATATGGTTAAGTAAATAAATAACCCCATTTGTTGTTGCTGGATTCCTGAAAATACAAGCTGCTAATGAAATCAGGGAGAAATAAGAATCCTATTTCACATGCAAAATAAGTTTTTGTTTTTTTATCACCAAAGTTACATATAGTTGTGAATGAGCCAACTAAAATTGAGAGGCTCCATACAGAGACATCCACCTTATAAGAGTCTCATCTTATTTTTGTAAATAAATACAAAAATTATAATGTTCCTTATGTTACATTTGATACCTGGTGACTTTCATATAACCCTGGGTTTTCTTGAAATCACTATAAAGTAACTTGCCAATATTTTATGAGTTTTAGTCTGCAAAAGCCAATTTTGTGTAATAGTTAAAGGCACAAGACTAGAAACCAGAGTATTTAAGTTTTAATCATGCATGACATGAAACACAGCTAAGTCACTTTGGGACAGTCACTTTCTCTCAATCCTAGGTAAGCCATTAAAGGCAAACAGTTCCCCAAAAAATTTACCAATTGCATGAATTTGTTCCAGCAGTTGCCAGCAGTTGAGGTTGACTCAGAGTTGTGCACACAAACCTATAAGCATCATCATTGGAGTTTTCCATTCAAGTGCAAAACAGATACAGCCCTATTGAGCTTTTGATCTCAGCAACAATAAGGTGAGTGCATCTACTATCTGCAACTCTGTAAAAGTAGCTATTGATTGTGCAGACTCCTTAAAGGCTTGTTTGCAACTGCACTTCATGGGAATGCTACCAAAACTGATAGCCATATGTTAAGTATTTTTGCTCTTTAATAGTTAGAACTAACTTTTAAACATTACATCATCATCATCCTCACCCCACTGTATCTAAACAAGTTTGCACAAAAGCAGATATCACATAGAACTTTTCTGTTTGAGTCCCTTTGGACAGAGAAACTGGATATAGCAACAATCAGTAATATTGAATAGTAATCAAATATCAGCAAAATATAAGAAGTATAATCAACAAGAAGTGGGAAAATATTATGTTAAAAGTATTGTTTTAACAGAGGTGCATTTTTAAAAGTAACTTTCCACCTGCAGTCAGAGAGGACATGTTGCAGGCATATTATACATAATTAGTTAGGTCTGTAGACCAGGCTAAAGTCAGAAGGTCAGTTTGGAGGTTCTTGATATCCTGCAATCATTCTCAGGATAAAACCTACACATTGAAAATTGATAATGGCTTGCATTAAATATGAATAATTTTCCTATTAATTTCAATGCACATGACAAATTCTGAATTTGACAAATATAATTTGAGCAGCATAGATGTTCAGCATTAATTTCCTACTAATAGGAAATTATACCATTCTACTTCAAAATAGGGCCTTTTTCAAAGGAAAGCAGAGTGGACAGCAACTGAGTGGCCAAATACTGGAGGAAGAAAAAAGATTATCTCAGCATCTATAGTATATAATTGCTCCATTCCTAATTATAATTTTCCACAGTTGATCTTTTTCAAGTAAAGTGTAGAGCTGCTCTCTGAAACTACCACAAAACCCTTCATTTCAAACAGAAATTCAGTAAATACCCCCATAATTATACCAACAAATAAACTCTTTAACTGTGAGTCATTATGAAAGTGAAAACAATATAATTTAGAGCACAGAAAATCAAGATTATGAAAGAGATTTGTTGAATCGCTGCTGTTATGCTTTAACATTAGAGTATGATTCATATCATTTGCAAGCATTCCCAATGCTGACTGAGATCAAGACAGAAAGGCAAACAAAAGTGATTTAGCATGACTCATCAAAGGACATTTTGTATCCCTGTGTGCTTTACTTTCTACTGTCCCCATCAGCAGGCTTATGAACAGCACGTAGGTAGAGGTTTATTGAATAGTCATAAGACCTTATCAGTAACATAACATAAATATATAACAAGACAAAATACAGATAAATTAGATATATAAGAATACAGTAATAAAAACATATGTGGAAAACCAGGGAATCAAAAATTGGATAATAGATCACCCTTGCAGGATATACCAATTTGTTCAATATATTGGGTTCTTAGGACCACTGCCTTGATTATAAACTTAGCAGTCCTACGGACGATGTGTACATTAGAGGCCTGGAGGAAATATAACAATCTGTGTTTTGATTCCCAATGGGCTGTTCTTTCCAGTAGAAATGATAAATATTTAAACCTAATGGGGGCATATATTTGGCAGTTGAACAAAATGTAGGAAATATCTTCAATGGCAGATGAACCACATAAGCAGGTTCTCTCGTGGTATGGTACATGGTGGAAGCACCCATGTCTGGACATGGAATCCAGTAACTCAAATCTGGCTCTGGTATAGGCTTTTCTCTGTAATTGTGGCATACCCATTGAAAGGTATTTTTCAGGTTGGAAGATGTTTTTATTCTTAGCCAACCATCTTATAGATCTGTTTTTTGCTAATAATTCCATATCAATCTGGGCACTAATGTCCAAGACTCTCTGTTTAAAAATTTCCCTTGCCTGGAAAACCCTTGTCAATAAATATTGGGTAGAAAACCCATGTCTTAAGATGGCTCTGTGAAGTTGACTGGCCCAGGAGTTAGATTGGAACTTATTTAACTGTTCAGTTAGGCATAGTTTGGGAAGTCTATCCAAATCCATTGGTTGTGTCTTTAGCCAGTATGTAAATGTTTTAATTATTAAGTGGCTATGTAAGGAGTGGATACCCAATTCCACTCTGACTGCTAAAGCAGAAGTGTTCTTATCAGTCCCCAATAAGTGTCTTAAAAAGCAGGCCTGTGTTTGTTCAAGCGGGGAGGCTTTATTTAAACCCCACAGTTCTGCACCATATGTCAGCATTGGAACTATTTTTGCCCTAAATACTTTCAACATAGGGGTCAGAGTGCCTGGGCAATTATGGCTAAAAACTTTATATAATCTTTTGGTGCTTATCTCAGCTCTTAATGCACTACTTTTAAAATGATTAAACCAAGATCCTGTATTAGTAAAAACCACTCCTAAGTAGGTGTAAGAATTTACTTGTTCAATTGACTCCCCATTAATCTGCCAATTATATTTCCTACTTTTTGTGCTGAAAACCAACACTTTGGATTTGCTTTTATTAATATTTAAGAAATTCAAAGTACAATAGGTATTCAACTTATGCAACAGTCTCCTCAGGCCTATTTGCGAATGAGCCATTAATACCATGTCATCAGCATATAAAAGAATGTTAATAAATTTATCAAGAATCTTTGGCATATGCAAATCTACTGCATGCAGGAATCCTGGTAAATCGTTGACATAGAGATTGAAAAGCATTGGGGCTAAAATGCA